ATAACCTTTTAGTCAATAAACCATCGTTCTGTATGTCCTTTCTAATATTGGGAACCCTGTTAAATTATTAATTCATTTTGTATTGGTTATTTGAATCTTTTCATCGATGTTTAGGACTGTGATTGATCAATCTCTTATTGGGCATATGTGAATCCTGTATAGATTACTTTGATATTGCCTTAAATCACAAACTGACGAGTCCCAACGAGGACGAAACGTACATCCTGAATTCTACTGTTAGCGACCATCCATCTCTGTTGTCAAATTATTGTTTATTGATTAATTATATCTGTACACTTTCATTCTTTATATAGTCATTTCAATATTTATATCGTCTGTACCTTTGATTACATTTTTTTCTATAACTAGAAATTTGATAGCAGGAAATAATGAACTGTCGAATGAGGTCATACATACGTTTAATTACTTAACTGATAGGTCTTGGGTTCAAATCTCGCAGGATGGGATCGTGGATATGCACTGCTGAGGAGTCCCACAATAGGACGAAACGGCCGTCCAGTGCTCCCACGTTTTTCATGGTGGTCTAGCTTCAATTGACTCATGATCTCAACCACTGAAATTAGCTGATTGTTCAGAAATTCAATTACATCTATGCAGATGTTCAAGAAAAGGTATTGAATATTAGTATGGTTAAAAATGTTTCAAACTAAACTATATTGGCGGTTGTGCGAGACTATAATTTATGGACCAACCAATAAGATATCAGATAACAGGTCTTGGATTTTGGCGCGAAATTCATCCATCTATTTAGATAAATAGAGTTTCGACAATATAACTGATGTCAGTTCGTGATGAAAAACCTAAATCTAGTTCCCACCATTAACCATTAAACTGTAAATCATAATTCTAATTCTTCACACTGGTTTATAACCTTCACTTGGTCTTAGTTATTAGATGGACACTCTCAAGGTCAGTCTAGCGTCGCTCAAAGGTCGTCCACAAATACGCCGATGCTAAAATCTTTTTGATATTGTATAGAATGTTCGTGCGTCCTCAACTTGAGTACTGCATACAAGTTGCTAGCCCCTGCTTAAAAAAACAGTAAGCTTTTGGAAAAAGGTTCAGAGAACAACAACTAGGCTGATTCCCGGAATAGCGAAGCTCCCATATGATTCACGAGAAGCTAAAATCGAACTATTTCCATAGTCATATAGAAGAACCTGAGGCGACTGGATCAGAGTTTTCAAGTTACTTAGTGATAAATTTGCATCTGATATGCCCTCATCTTTCTTATCTTCCAAACAGGAAAATCTACGAGGACACTCTAAGAACGTTTGCAAGTCCAGAACAAATCACTTGTCAGCTGATTATCAACTTTCCAATCGAATCATCAACGAATGGAATTCCTTAGCTCAACAGGTGATTGAAGCTCTATCTGTCAATGCTTTTAAAAGAAAGTTGGATCAACTGAGAGACCATCATTACCAGGACTAACACAAGTCACCTAGCCTCCTGTTCCTTCCAAACTGAAACAAAACTTGTCTATATTACGACGGATCAATATACACATTATATTTTCAATAATTTTTAAATTGACGAGTCCTTAAGTGTTAAAGACTACAAGTCGACTTACAAATTTCAACGTCATTTCTTGCGTTGATCGGTCTCTTGTGTATGATACGTTAAACTTATTTTCACGGTAAAGTAATTAATTATATATGATATTGGTCACGTATTGAACACTAAAGAGCATTGGACTAGTAAGTAATACTGAATTACGATTTCACCAGGAATCGGACCAAGGAATTACAAGGATTACATCGAGCTCTTGACTATTAGATCATTCATTCAAGTATTCAATTTTAATCAGTTCAAGAACTACATAAAAAACAACGCATTACAAATCAAACTAAACGGATAAAACACACATACTCCTCCCCTCTCGGTTTTCAGCCAAACTAGTTAGTGAAACCTAGTAAGTTTTTCTGGAGAAATGGCTACATCCAAGCACGGTACAACCACCAGGGCTCAATAGTTGTTTTTACAAATATTTGTCATTTTTGGTCCAGTAATAATTGTACTATTTTTTCTTTGTAGCATTCGTAATCAATTGTGGGTAATAGTCAAGTGGGTGATTAGCTCGATCTCTACCATCTGGGTTAACCGCTCACTTTAGTTCATGGAATTGAGTCCCACAATCCAAGAGGTACGACGAGGACACATGCGTTGGGTTTTGTTGGGGTTCATATCACCGAGGCTGAGACTTGTGTTCTGGACTCAACTGACTGGGCTAGACAGGGAAACAGGGCCAATCAGAACTCTAGGCTGCTCGCTCGTATTTGATGCGTCACTATATCGATCGGTAATACGCTGCTCTCTAATAGGCGGATCACATGTAAAAACAGGTTTCACCTCCGAAAACACATACATATACTACTAACAGATAATGATTTACTGTACAACATATATAAACAGAAACATCATCAATGGTGGATAACAGTCAAGTGGATGATTAGCTCGATCTCTACCACCTGGGTTTACCACTCACTTTGGTTCATGAAATCGAGTCCCACTATCCAAGAGATACGACGAGGACATATGCGTTGGGTTTCACCTCCGAAAACACATACATATACTACTAACAGATAATGATTTACTGTGCAACATATATAAACAGAAACATCATCAATTGTGGATAACAGTCGAGTGGGTGATTAGTTCGATCTCTACCATCTGGGTTAACCGCTCACTTTAGTTCATGAAATTGAGTCTCACTATCCAAGAGATACGACGAGGACATATGCGTTGGGTTTCACCTCCGAAAACACATACATATACTACTAACAGATAATGATTTACTGTACAACATATATAAACAGAAACATTATCAACATAGACATATAAATAAAATGTAAGTGATCAAATTTCACAAAAAAATAGACTTCAATAAGACAATAAACAGTACAAATGATAACATATGTAAAATAACAGAATTTATTGATTGATTTTTTTTTTAATTCTTTGAAATGTGTATAATGACAGTCAATAGTGAACAATGAAATGAAATGAAATAAAACAGAACAACAACAACGACAACAACAACAACAGCGACGACGACGAAGACAACAGCGACTTTCAAAATAATCAAATGACCTTCTCTTCTCCAATTGACAAGAGAATAAATAAAGTTTTAAAAATAAACAAAAAAAAACAAATTGGTAGAATAAATACAAATGCCCTGGTATGACCAAGATTGAGGAGAGTCAGCTGTGCATTTCCCAAATGCTCTCACATGAACATGTGCATACAATCACTCTTATGGAAGTCCTATTCATTGCTTTCTTGCGGTGGGAATATTATTCAAGAAATTGAGAGGATGAAAAGCGAATGTCCAACGCTTTAACCGGGTTGATGGATATGGAGGATGCATGTAGTCGAGTTAGAAAACCATGATTTCAAATTAATCGTGTATATGGGGTGTGTGAACCAATCGTTGGCCACCGGCTACTATGAGACTGCAGTCAGTCAGTTTGCTACAACGTAAAACCAGGTACATATATGCATCGATCGAACTTGCCATACCTCATTAACACAACTAGATGAACAACAAATTCATAGAATTAGTTACTTCAATAGTTATAATATATTTCAAAATAAGATTGCATATAACAATATGATACAGGGAGAAAGAATTAATTGTTAGAAATAAGGTAGCTTTAATCTCACAGTTTAGGGCAAGATAGAGGGTGTATACACCTACACCATTGTGATCGATTCTGAGCCATGCCACCCAGAGACTGCATCTCCTGACGTTGCTCCACTACCCTGTAGATCAAACACTTATATCGAAGTCTTCGGTTGTGGCTCACTCATAAAATCACCTACTTCAGTCTAAGCACCTGAGAAGTACCATAGCCCATACATAAATCAAGTGACTTATGTGGCGCATATATATTAGGTGCCCCTTTTTACCAATATTTATGTATTGAAATAAATAAACAAATCCTATTGGTGTTTAAGATTGTGATCGATTATCCTCTTTTGGCATATGTACGGATTGTTTGTGACTTAGTGGTACTCAATGCAATTTAATTTAGGGAATAAAATTCATTATCTAACAAAACTTCATTTCTGAATGACATTCTGAATATCGCAACAATACATTTTTTTTTCTTTCGATATCAGTGTATTTAATCTACTACTTATATAAGTCTTTATCATTGAAGATATGGAATTAATCCGTGAGTAGGTTGTTTTTTATTTTTGAGTTTGTATAATGATAAAGATTTGAACGTTACTAACAGTTGTAATCATTGACAAAGATTTGTTGGATTGATGTGACGTTACTGTTGTTTATTATTATTTTATTATTTATTTTAACACATAGATATTGGTACAAGGAGGCACCAAGTACATATGCGCCACACGAATCTCAATTGATTTGTGTGAGGGCTGTGATACTGACCGGGTGCCCAAACCGAAGCAGGATACTGTTGCAAGTCTTATGTATCGTTCATTCTATCGTCATTTCTCATGGAAAGATATTTTGTGGTTACTGAAAAAACAAACAAACAAACAAACAAACATTGTGAGGCTTAAATTCAAAAGAAAAATTGTGTATATTACACAGAATAAATCTATTCATATGGATATTTTTATATAAATTACACCGAGAGATTTATTATACACGAATCGATGTGTCAATTTCTTAGACATAATTATTACTATTCTGTTAAGGACGATAAATCCCCCCCCGAAAAAAACTCACATTTGTAATTTTATCGATTAAATATTTGAATAGCAATCAATTGATGAATGTTTAAAAATTTAAATGACAATATCGATTATATATATATATATATATATATATATATATATATATATATATATATATATATATATATAAAGTTGTTTTGGTTGAATCGCTCGTTTCTGGTTGTTGCAGAATATAGCTCTCATTTCAAGCCTGAACTTCTCCCTCTAGATAGCTGGGGCTGGGACGCGTCATTAGTTAGCTCACTGGTCGTTGATCACTGAATCTCGATCTCGTTCGCAAACTACGTGAACCCGTGATAGCTCTCTCTTTTCAAATCCTAACATACTCTTAGTTGAAAACAATAATAAAATCCAGTCACGATCGTATATCTTTTTTTTTTTTTTCTAGCGTATTGATTAAAAGGCTATAGGTAAACACTGTTGAGAGGTGTCATACTGGAGAACGAAACATATGACTAGTGTTCCCTGGTTATCTACCAATCTTACCTTAATTGAGATCAATCTATGACAAATACAACGTACAAAATCATAAAATCTCTTCGACCAAACAATAATAATAATGAATTATTTTAGTGCATTTAAGTTTCTTCTTTCAAGCGAACTTATTATATTGAGTAGGATTTATAAGAAAAAATAAAATAAAATGGAAAAGTTAGTAGACATTATGAATTGGGATCAATGAACAAACTTCACGAACACACACACACACACTTAAATAATCAGTCATAATTGTGCACTAACTATTCAATAACTTTATGATAAACTCCTGACATTCTAGTGAGAGGTCGTTATATATAACTGATCTAGTTTGACTATGTCAAAGAACCAGACATATACCCAGTGAAATCGGATAGAAACTACCTTCTATTACAAACTAATATTCTGAACGAATGGATAATGTGTCAGTGACTTGATGATATAATAAAGTGGTTACCACCTGATTTGAAGATACTGTCTTTAGTCTTGTATAAAATGATGAGTATGCATTGCTGATAAGTCACAAATACAATATGAAGAACATTGTCAAGTGACTTCTATCAAACTATGAACAAAGTTTAATTTGAATGGAACTAAATAATGAATACATATGATTTGCATTAAATATATTTATGCAAGAACTTTTCAATTCTTTACATATGTACACAGAAACTATAAAAGCTGGAAATACAACAATATAATCCCTTATTCCTTTTCAAGAAAAAAAAAAGAGACAAAGTTTAAAAGTGACATGGGGTGTGTGTGTGTGTGTGTGAAAAAATCATAAAAATAAACACACAGTGATTGAGGATCACATTAGATCAATATGGATAACGAATAGTAATTTTTCTCTGCAAAGACAGTACGGTATAAAAAAAATAGTACTTATCACGTGACAAAACATATGTTTCTCGATGGGCATTAGAAGAAAGTGAAAAAAGAAAACAATAAGGAAAAGTGTAAACCTACAAAGTATTGAATAGGAACCAACTTAAACAAATATTTGGTCAATGTAACAAAGATTCGACATGATACTGTAATGTATTTCAAAAGATTATCATAGATAAACTAACTACTCTTTTCATATTTAAGTAGTTAAGTTAGAAAAAGACAAAAAGAGGGAGTGGGATATGGTAGTGGTAATATAATTGTTAGGGAATAAGAATAAGATACTTTCTATGTATAGATTCCTTAACAATGAAAATAATAGAAAAAAGTGAAAAACAAAATGATTGTTTTAAAACACACACACACACAGAACCAAACAAAATGTATTTTCATTTAAGAAATGAATATTAAACTTGTCGATGATAATATTCGTTTCAATTTGGACACAGTGACAGAGGTTCGAGTTAAATTATTGTCTCATTTATTCAGTAATATCTTTACGTGTACGATGATGATGATGATATTTACGTTGTCGTGAATTAACCGATGCATTAAGATTATTACTAGTTAATAAATCAGAAACAGGAATATTAGGCAATTCAGTAGTATCTGGTTGACTAGTAGTATTAGTATTAGTATTAGTAGTAGTACTGGTATAGTCGGCTGATTTAGGGAGTGATGATGTATTACTTGACGTCTTTATCTCATCCGTTCCAGTATTATTTATTGGTTGGTTTGTCTTACTAGTAACATATCTTTTAAATAGTTTAGCACGTGGATTTTGTTGAATTGAAGCAGAATACGGAACTAGTTCCTTAACAGTACCTAGAACCAAAATAATAATAATAATAGTAAGTAAATGTAACATGTTGAGTAACAATAAGGTTCAATACAAAGACAAACAATAGTAGACATGTTTATATAAGAGAGAAAAGAATATTCGGTAAGCATCTCTTCAGAAAGAAAGTGTAATCGTTGTACATTTAACATTTTTTTTTTACAGTTTACACTACCGACCTGGTTTTAGTTAGATAAATACTGAAAACTAGAAACAACTGTAAAGCTGTTTCATCCAATTATGAAACTTTTGTCAGTACTGAACATTTATAGCGTCATCTAGGATCTGTAAGTCCTGTAATAAGTGCTTAACCTAAAACATTCTGGTTTCACATACATTAGCCTAATTTCTGATTTCAACTAATTCATCATATTGCATAATCATCTTCCAATATCATCCGGTGGGTAACTATTTCACATTAGATATGGTTAAACTCCACTGGTCATAATTTCTTACCAAAATTTCGTGAATTACCTTTCTCAAATAGTCATTGGTAAGTATTTTACCCATACTAATTACAAATTATTTTTATGATCAGCAATAAACTATCTAACCACTCTAAGCTACAGATACCCTTAAGGACTACAGAGGGAAGAATTCAGTCAATAATTAGATTCAGGTAAATGAAGTTTTCATAGTATATATCAACAAATTTGAAAATATGTATAATGTAACTGTTACTAACCTTATTTAAAATAGATTTTCCACGATGAGCTAACTTAAGCTAAACAACCGTATACTATGAAGAAGTATCTGTTTCGTTAAGTAGTATGATATTTCTAAGGAATATAATGAATTGATTGAAATCATAAATATAAGCTGTTAGATGCCAACTTAATAAAGTGGTAGCCTAACGGTTAAATCACTTATCTTTTAACTAGTAAATTGTGGATTCCAACATCATTCCATAAACTTTGTTTTAATCAATCGGGTAGTATTAATATTCCTCCAATAACTAGAGTGTGATATAAAGTTAAATAGATGAGTAAATCAAATACATGTTGTGAAGCTAAAAGATCACAGATTCAATCACTGATACAATTGTGGACGCACTGTTATATTTAGATGGTTATTTCTTGATATACCGCGTATAACTGGAGCACTAGAACGCCAGAACCCTTCCAAATAACAATGAGAAGACTAGTGAAAGGAATACTATTCCAGACAGTGTCAATTATAGTACAAAATTGTCAGGTATTTATAGTTTTTTAGTAAAAACGAAATCATCATTACAGTCCTCCAATCCGCATAGAGGGCGGGATATTAGCATTATCCAACCAGAAGCTACACGCAGGAATTCTAGAATATTCTTCCAAAAGATGATCGGATGGAATATCTTCGGATCCTTCTGAGCCTCTTACAGATTCCTCGACTTCACACATGGTCCATCTTCACACGCATAACACCAAGTAGTTACAGATATGTATGATATACTAATTACTTACTTACGCCTGTTAATCCCAATGGAGCATAGGCCACAGACCAGCACTCTCCAACCCACTCTGTCCAGGGTCTTCTTTTGTAGTTCTATCAAATTCTTGTTCATTTTTCTCATGTCTATCTCCATTTCCCGACGTAATGTGTTCTTTGGTCTTCCCCTCCTCCTTCGACCTTGAGGATTCCATGTGAGGGCTTGTCTTAAGATGCAGTTCGGTGCTTTCCTCAATGTGTGTCCTATACACTTCAAGATTTCTTCCTCCGCTCGAATCTGGTTTGTTCTCTCCCATAGTAGATTGTTGCTAATAGTGTCCGGCCAACGGATCTGAAGTATTTTGCGTAGACAACTGTTAATAAACACCTGTATCTTCTCGATAATGGCTATCGTAGTTCTCCAGGTTTCCGTCCCATACAGTAGAACTGTCTTCACATTTGTATTGAAAATTCTGACTTTGGTGTTGGTTGCTAATTGTTTTGAGTTCCAGATATTCTTCAGTTGTAAATATGATGCTCTTGCTTTGCCGATTCACACCTTCACATCTGCATCAGATTCACCATGTTCATCAATGATGCTGCTCAGATATGAAAGGCTTTTTACATCCTCCAAAGCTTCTCTGTCGATTGTGATTGGATTGGTGCATGCTGTGTTGTATCGGAGAATCTTGCTTTTCCCTTCGTGTATATTGAGACCTATTACTGCTGAGACTGCTGCTACACCGGTCGTATTCTCCTGCATTTGTTGTTGCGTTTGCGATAGAAGATCCAGATCATCCAACGGCATCCTAGATATCCACTGTATCCCGTGCTTCCCTTCAGATGTTTACATCTTTATGATTCAGTCGATCACGGGGAGAAAGAGAATCATGCAGTCTATATATTATCAAAATTAATATATTATTAATCATTAGTTAATTTTACTTACCAACAGCTTTTGTTTTACCTTCACGAAATATTAAACGTAGACCAGTATATAAATATTCAGGAGATTTTATAAAACGAAATACAACCATATCTTTATCACCAGTTCTTAAACGTTCATGTGAATTTAATTTTAATATTGTTGCAGTTTGACGTACAGGACCAGCATGAACCATAGCTTGATAACCAACTGATATAGTTGTAGGATGATGTAAAATTAATACTTCAGCAATAAATTCAATACATGCTTTTGGTTTTAATTCTGGTGCTAACAATACCATACCCTTTTATAGTAATAATAATAATAATAATAATAGTGGGAAATAAATGGAATTACAGTTTATTATTAAAATGTGTCATAATAAATATATTATCACTAAATGAAAAATATTAGTTCAAGAATTGATCTATATCAAAGCATGAACTAATGATAAGGGATAAAACATTTGAGTATATCAATCAATTGACTCATTTTGGAAGTATTATCAATTATGATGAGTTGATATCTGATGGAATCTCAGCAAGGATTAAGAAAACTTAATTGACACTTTTCAACTTACATCGCTTATAGGGTAAGGTAAGATGTTAATTTGAAAACTAAAGAATGAGTATACTGAACGACAAATCACTATGCTTTACTTTATAGATGTGAAATAAACTCTGAAAATAATGAATATTCATGAATTACTAGTATTTATCGTCGAAACATTGGTCAAATATGTTGGGATTTCTGAGTGGGCAATAATCAGTTTAGACACAGAATACTAGGTGGAGATAGTGAATCGTTTGATGAGGTGGTTGAGACATGTATTACTTATAGTCAACAACAATGAACCTCAAGGGATGACACTAAACAATTATGAGAGTAGGTTGGAAATATACTGGGGATACCCAGACTAAAAATCCATAAAGTCATTGACTGTTAGAGTGAGTCCTGTATCTAGTTGTAGACTAGTTGATTAGGGTCCGTGAGATTATTTTGATTAACAGTTTGAGATGTTGAATGAAACACACCAAAAAATCGAACACAATAGTACAGATACATTCACTCTTTGTCTTTATTTAAAACTTGAGTTTTAAGAATATCTCACACTTTTACTTCATGCTTTCTTACTTACGCCTGTTACTCCGTCCTGGGCCTTCTTTCCTAGTTCCATCCAATTCTTGTTCATTTTTCTCATATCTATCTCCATTTCCTGGCGTAATGTATACTTTGGTCTTCCTCTCCTCCTTCGGCCTTCAGGATTCCATGTGAGGGCTTGCGCCGTGACGCAATTCGGTGCTTTCCTCAATGTGTGTCCTATACACTTCCAGTGCTTCTTTCTGATTTCTTCCTCCACTGGGATCTGGTTTGTCCTCTCCCACAGTAGGTTGTTGCTAATAGTGTCCGGCCAACAGATCTGAAGTATTTTGAGTAGACAACTGTTAATAAACACTTGTATCTTCTCGATAATGGCTTTCGTAGTTCCCCAAGTTTCCGCCCCATACAATAGAACTGTCTTCACATTTGTATCGAAAATCCTGACCTTGGTGTTGGTTGCTAATCGTTTTGAGTTCCAGATGTTCTTCAGTTGTAAATATGATGCTCTTGCTTTTCTGATCCATAGCTTCACATCTGCATCAAATCCACCGTGTTTATCAATGATGCTGCCCAAATATGTAAGGGATTTTACATCCTCGAAATCTTCTCCGTCAAGTGTGATTCGATTGGTGCATGCTGTGTTGTATAGGAGAATCTTGCTTTTTCCTTTGTGTATGTTAAGACCTACTGTTGCTGAGGCTGCTGCTACACTGGTCGTTTCCTCCTGTATTTGTTGTTGCATTTGCGATAGAAGAGTCAGATCATCTGCAAAATGTAGATCGTTCAGCTGCATCCTAGTTATCTACTATAACTCATGTTTCGCCACAGATGTTGACATCTTCATGATTCAGTCAATCACCGGGAGAAAGAGGATCATGCAGTCTATAACTATCTTTTTCTATCATTTATTATAAAAATTTCATCCCACTGTACTGATATAATGTAACAATCTGAATCACTCTATATATATTTGTCAAGGTATTATGTTGTTTGATTAATACAACCACTATTTGAATAGTAGATCGTAGTTGTATTGAAGTTAACCCGCTGTCCCCCCCACACACACACAAAAAAAGGCATGTTTAACACAACTCAACTGAGAAAATAAACAAACAAATAAACATTACATAATTGAAATCTATTTTTATAACTTACTTTACGAACTTGATTACGTCGTAGTTTTTTTAATGCAAATGATGCAGTTTGTCCACCACGTACATAATTCACAGATAAACGTTTACGTTGTATACTTTTAATTGAAATTGGATTAAATTGTCCTGATAAATCAGGACCAAGTAATAAAATATCATTTAATTTAATAATACCAGATAAACATGTACCAGAGATAACTGTACCAACACCTTGTACAGAGAATATTTCATCAATTTGAAAATGGGCTAATTCATTTAATCGTGGCTCTGATCTTGATGGTAATAAATTAAGAAATAATTTTAATAAATCTAAATTTGTACCATTTACATTGGAAATTGAAAATATTGGACACATACGTTCGGAGGTGAAATTTGTTGCACAACAAATAACATCATCTCTAAAATTAATTAATATTGTATAGATAGAAAGAATATTGTATAAAGTGTGTGTGTGTGTGTGTGTGTGTGCGGGGGGTTTTTTAAGGGAAAAATAAAGATAAATATAATTTGAAAGTTGAGATCATGAATCGAAATCTGGTAGAACTGAACAGCTGTTTCGTCCTATTGTGGGACTCTTCGATAGTGAGCATCTATGGTTTCACCTCATAGGATTCGAACACAGGACCTATCGGTCTTGAGTGTGAATGCTTAACATCTAAAACCACTGAGCCGATAGGCATTCAATGGTGTTAATGTTTAACTTTAACCAATCCAAGAAATTCAGTCACATGTCCACCATTGTTTCCAGTGAGTTACTATCTCACAATAGGTTTTCCATGTTGGTCTAGCTTCAACTGACTTATGATCTAAACTATTAAATTACTATAATATCCACAAAAACCCCTTCGTGATATAAATATAACTATTGAAAGATGATAATTATCATATCCCGACGAGCATAATGAATGGTAACTGTTGGGGATCCATTTATGGACTAATACTATACATATATTTTTATTGTATAATTCTTATGTAACTAAACTATGTACATTCATATTCCTCTTATTATAAGCTTTATTTTAACACATAGACTATTATTATACGATTTACCATTCTTAAGTTATGTGCAGTCTATTATTAATTACAGTCTCCCACATTCACAGACACTTTTGGCTAGATCTTGTAAAAATGCTATTTTCTATTTTGTGAAAGTTACTACAGGATAGCCACTGGCTTCTATTTTGAGTCATATCTGATAACGTCTCTAGCCACTATGTTGCATCATCTCTCGGACCCCAACCACCGAATCGTGAAGAACCAACAGAAGTCAGCCCTTTGCAGCTTTCTTTCATACCACGACACCATGTCATATACTGACCACCTCTCCGCTTTTTCCAACCAGTCCCAGAGTCGGCAAATAATGCACGACGAGGAATTCTCTGGGACGACATTTGTAGAACATGTTCAAGCCACCGAAGTCGGTGTTTCAAGATGATGACACCAATTGCATTATCGTCTCTGTGACCGAACACGCGATGCCGAACCTCTGCATTACTAACATGGTGTTGCCACTGGATGTCAGCAACCCTTTGGAGACAACGATGATCGAACACAGAGAGTTGTCTAACATCCTCAACTCGGAGAGGCCAGGTTTCACAAACATAGAGCAAAACTGCTCTCATCGACGCGTTTTAGATCCGACCTTTTACAGGCAAACTAACATCACGAAGGCGCCAAAGGTGGCCCAGATTAGCATATTTATTTATTTATTTTATTTTAACACATAGATATCGGTACAAGAAGGCACCAAATACATATGCGCCACACAGATCTCATTTGACATGTGTGAGGGCTGTGATACTGCCCGGGTGCCCAAACCGAAGCAGGTGGTTTTCTTAGGGGGCCACACCCCGAGCCTTTGACCTGAACGTCTGATCCACAAGGCAGTGGAGTATCGTGAGGAGATGCAGTCCCATGGAAGCCGGTGACCAAAAATTGGTTCATACGCCATTTGTTCCCGCAGGATACTGGAGCCCATGTGCACCATTCGTTTGGGATCCGGTTAAAGCGCCGGAAATTCGCTTCTCGTCCTCTCATTTTCGTAAACAACACCCCCGCCACGAGAAGGCAGTGAGTAGGACTTCCCTGGCAGGGGCTGTATACGCGTGACCATATGAGAGCATTTCGAGAGGGGGAGCGGACTCCCCCCCACTCTCGGCCATACCAGGGCATTTGGGGGCCCAGATTGGCATAAGCCGCTCTGGCTTTCACTATACGTGCATTGATCTCATCACTCACACCACCACCAGCATTTATGCAGCTACCTAGATACACGAACTTCTCGACTACTTCTATCTGCTCACCATCCAGAGTGAGTACAAGATTAGAATCCTGCCAGTCTTGTAGAAGAACTTTGCACTTAGAAGGTGCAAAGCAAATACCATACCTACGGACACTGATTGCCAACTGATTAAGTGCGGATTGCATAGCTTGGGCATTCTCGCACAGTAAGACAATATCATCCGCATACTCAAGGTCGAGAAGTCTTTCTCCAGGCAACAGATCCACACCACCATTACTTACATCCATCAGAGCTGTTTCCAGAATGTCATCGATGGCAAAGTTGAAGAGGAATGGTGAGAGTTGGTTGTATGCCCTCACTCTGCTTGAGGTGTTTGTGTATAGGGCTTTTAGGATGTTAATAAACTTCTCAGACACACCCTTCTTCATTAGACAATCCCACAGAACAGTCCTATCCAACGAATCGAAGGCAGCCCTGATATCAAGAAACACTACGATTGTTGGCCTTTGATAAATATGGCAGTGTTCTAACATTTGGCGGAGGGTGAAGATATGATCAATACATCCTCGACCAGAACGAAACCCAGCCTGCTCCTCGCGAGTCAATCTTTCTCGAGTTTCGAACAACCTACGAAGTATGACGGAAGCCAGTAGCTTGGATGCGATCGGAAGTAGACTTATCCCCCGATAGTTGTTACAGGAACGACGTGAACCCTTTTTAAAGATAGGGACAACTATCGACTCATTCCATGACGTTGGTACACACTCTAGTTCCCAGACCTTTGTAAACAACGTCGTCAGTTCCTAAGTCAGAAAGTCACCACCATATTCAAAAAGAGTAGGATGTAGGTCGTTTAGGCCCGGTGATTTGTAGCGTTTCAAGAGTTGGAGTTCCTTGCCGACTTCCGCCTCATTTGGTGGATCAGTCGTCACCAGCCACGGAGGGCAGGCTAGTTGAACTGCCCTTTGAAGAACTTTGTCCACCGTTCAATACGTCGATGGATATTAGTAATTGGCATCCCGTCATCCTCACAGATTGCTTCGCTCACACCAGACTTCTTGCTGCCAGTGGCTCGGATGAGTTGGAAGAGCTTCCGGTAATTACCAGATGCAGCTGCTGCTTCCAGCTCATCAACAAGCTCCGACCACCAGGCTTGTCGGTCCTTACGCAAGCTTTGTCCAACCTCATTACGTAACATCCTTCGTTTGTGGTCAAACCCACGGTCACCAGGAGTATACCGACGGTCTTCAGTGAGTTGTAAGGAGCCTGAAGAAACCCAGTGCTTATAAGCGGGATGTTTCGCGAAGCTTCAAGCGGATGTACTTGCCATTTTCATGGCGTTAAGCAGTTGCAATCAATGCTCATCTATAATTTCCGGTGGGATAGTAGCTAGTCTAAAACCTAGCTCAGTTTGATACTTAGTTGCAACAGAAGCTGAAATCAGTTTACTGACATCAATACGTTTAGGACAATAAATTCGTTGGCCACTGAAAAGGTAAGATTGGCGCAAAAAAGGGTCCAGATAGGTATTCCAAAAGGAGCGGCAGTCATGTACACAACCACACCAGCGGTAGCTGATCGTGATGTGATCAATCTGAGTCCAGGCTTGAGATGCAGAGGGAGGACGCCAGGTGGTACATAGGCGATGACTATGCCGAAAGTTAATGCTAGCCAGAAACAGGTTGTGGTCCGTGCACAGTTGCAGTAGACGGTCACCGTTATCTGACCTGCGACCAACAAGTACCCATAGGCCACCCAAACGACTCTTCTGTGCGTAGACGCCCGACCTGAGCATTCAAGTCTCCGGTTAGTACTACAATATCTGTCGGGTCTCCAATATATAGAATGAGATGGGGGGCCGAATATGAGAGGAAAAAAGGTGCAAGTTGAACTTTGTAGTCGTTAAGTTATCAATCAATTGTACAAGGTACATGTTTATGATACAATTATAAATATACAAAAATACTTACGTTGATGATATCAATGCTGGAATTTTTCGACAACCAGGTGATTTTAATATACGAAATAACAAATTCATTGTTTCATGTAGTACATTTGGTGGGCACATATCAATTTTTGTAACTACAACAAATACCGGCACACATAAAGCTAATGCCAGGCCTAAATGTTCTTTAGCCATACCGATAACACCAGCATTAGCACCAACCATAAACATAACATAATCTGGTGCATGACCAGTCATACCAAATATAGTTGTTTTTAAATAACGTTCATGACCAGCTAAATCAATGAATGTGATTACCTGAGTAATAAAAACATAAAATTAAGTTAATTGATAGAAAAACAAGGAAAAAGTGCACCAAATGTGAAAGGGGTGAACAAAAATGAACAACGTTAATCTACTAAACAAGTATCAATTGTCATGTATTGTCCTTAGTAAAATAGAAAGCCAGGGTTTACTGGTTGTTTCATTCTAGGAGAGTACATGCTCTTGAAAAATCGAATACTACAACGAAATATTTATCCAGTCTTCAATGGCTTTTAATGTTATCCATAAATAAGGTAAATCTATATAGACTACTACTTACAGACCAAACAGACCTTCGAAGTATCCTTAATATCAATATTAGACAAATGTAAATCACACGATGCTTGACCGTAGCCGTTACCTTGACGTGGTGATCGAGTGTGCATATTATGATGACCCGAACCACCCATATTGGGTGAAATAGTCGTTCCTTTAGGTTTTACTATATCAGGCAGATTATTTGGAGGGCTAGAAAATATCAACAATAAAAAGGTATACCTGACATTTCCCAACGAAACTTCAACATCATCAACTACTGCTTGCAAAAATGCCATACAACCAGCCCCTAGAGTTATGCTGTCATACCTTCAGATCATCAAGACTATCCCTAATCCAGTTTTTCTTTCAAGTATCCCAAAGAGAAGTATTTTCTCATGATGTGGGAAACTAGGAAGCGACAACCACCAACATATCCTTAGCAAAAGTTGAGATCACCGACTTGATCGGATTTGTAAATCAATATATCTTAACTGCATTACGTTTAAGATGGCAGAAAAGCATTGGTGTGGTTCAACAATGATGTGATGCATAAGTTTATGGAGTTATCAGATATTAGTTCAAACTTTGCATGCGACTTTTTAGGTATCGAGATGATAATAACTTTCTAAACAGAGATTTATCCAACTGAAAAGTCGTCTTACATTTTTAATACTAGTTTATTCTAGGATTTGTGTCAACTGATCATCCAGTTTGTATTAACTGTACATTGTCTACCGATATTCATACAGTTGATTGTTTTGAGAACTTACCTTTCTAAAAAAACGTGTTCATTATTAAAAACTTGCATTACAACAGAATTAAAGTACAATTAAATAAGGAATTGGCACCAATTGGACACAATACATAGAAAGATACTGTGGTGCGTGCTACTTATATTGATATAAGTAGTATATGACACGAGTCAGGAATGTAATGTCTGACAGCAGAAGATGGGGAAGATCAAGAAAGAAAGGACGGGTATAGAAAGCAATTAGTATGGAAATGCAAGAACAATGAAGTTCGAGACAATTATTGAACATTTTGCAAATTAAGTATTATAGCAAGTAACTGTAATTTTGTGCTAAATATAATTCGGTTGTCCTTACGTGTGTTCTCCTTCACTACAATACAACAAAAAAAATTAGGACGAAGCAGTTGAATAATAAGTGGAACTGCATCACCAACGCTGATATTCACTGTTATGTTACTTACAGTTTTGGGCTACAGATATGAACCGAGATATTGACAAGTACTTATAGTCCTTAAAGTTATATCTTGTATCGGCTTAGTAACGCCTGAACTTTATTTAACCTTTTTTATAAGGTGAACAAACTAGAACTCCGGAATGCATATGGTGACTAGATGCATATATAAAAATTTATTCATATGAACAGATTAATTGACCTGTGGAACTATGATGAAGGGCGAAGAAAATCCTTAAAACGAAACTAAATGGCCACTATGTTACTTATCCGTATGCAAGTTGCAGGGTCAAGTTGTCACTTGTGAACTGCGAACTGATGAAATGCACATTGACTATCTTTGTTGGCCGATCTCTTCCGTATAAATTGGCTTTATGTTGATGTGTCTGTTGATTGTTAAGTGTTCTGAATGCTATATTCCTAGAAATCTCCTGACGCCCTTGAAGTTTAAGAATTTAAAATTTCGATGCCTTTTCAATCAAATTCGTATTTATGGTTATCTCCATGCATTGATTTCAGTGACAGTATATCATATCGTCTCACAGTTAATCTAAGCTCATTTATGCGTAGGTAATGTACAAATTATTCTGTAAATGATGTTGCATTTGTCCTCCTTCATTACTATCCTTTGGTTTGCAAGAAATGGAATGAAGTGTCAAAGTTAGTTGGTGAACACCTTTGATCTCAAATGGCTTCAAGATCCTTGTGATAGCTGCCGAGATATTTCTTACAAATAGTAAAATAATCTGTTTCTTGATTTTTGAGGTCGATATTTTTGAAGACGTATATATACAGATATACATCACCAAACCCACAAGGCTGATAAAAATTCACAGATAATTATATATGTAAATATTGAGGGTTTATTATTAAACTACAAACTTTGACACAAAGTAATTCTGTGGAGGAATTTGTGTAAGTTAAGAGAAAGGATAACAAAACAGGATTATTCCTTCTGAATACACTAGATGAATGAAATAATCATTAAGTACGAGATCGAATTTCGGAGGAATTACACAACAACAGAAAAGATAATTGTGTATTACCGTCTTTATAAAGACAACTATAGAAAAGTCAAGTAACATATATATGTAAGAGAGAGAGAGAGAGAGAGAGAGAGAGAGAGAGAGAGAGAGAGGATTACCCAAATTATCGAAGACACTTTGAAAAACAAATAAACCAAATACAGAGAGTAGTAAAAATTAAAATTTACTTTGGCTGAAGCTTCACAAATTTCAGACCAATTCAAATGACCATGTACAGGTTTATTGACTACTTGACCAAGTGAACTAAAACCTAATATATCATGTGCCACTGAACTAGTACGTCCAGATTCCGCTTCATGTTTATGACGTAATAAACGTAAACGAGCTAAACCACGACCATTGTCCAATTCACCATGAGTTAATACACCAAGTAAAGTAGATTTGCCTGCATCCACATTTCCTACAACTGCCACACTATGATAAATGGAAGACAAAATTAAATATTAAATTGAACAAAGCCACAAGGATAATGAATAAAATGTAAATGGATAAGAATATTTATAAGGTTAAACTATTTATAAGAAATCAATAAATTGATTTAACTTATTAACTATACATCAATAAACATAGTCACTATGCACTAAGCTCAATATGCATAGTGGTATTTAAGGTGTTCAACTTTTAACCATTAATTTATATATATCTAGTTGTAACCAGACAGGGTATGTATTAAATAGATAGGAAATATAGTAATATACAATAGTCTCACTAGGAACAAATATACATACGCTTAATCATCAACTACTTTAATGGAAGATGTTATCTGATGTTAGGAGTAGGCTGGGAGATAGCCAGGAGCGGCAAAACTAAGACGTGACATCAGTCTATGGGGTAATTAACAATTGGACCAAGGCGCCTTAATAGGTGTAGACTACCTGGTTGGATTCCGCATGATTATCGTAACCAACGGTTAGAAACATTGAGTAACACGGTTCAGAATTGTTCGCAACGGTATAGGCGCACTCACTTTTGACCTTCTCATAGAACATGAGTTTTAAAATATCCTTACACCTTTTTCTATACCTAATCTTTTATACTACTGTGAGTAATTCTACTCCTGTGGGAATTATCTTGAAATAATTCTATTTCGATGAGTTAGTGTGGTATGACAACTTCAACTCATACACAGGTTTATCACGATCTGCGTTGCATATGACTGATTGATATACATTATCTGACTTTCTTAACATAGTTTTCTGAATACGAAAATAAAACACTTAATAATAATGAGAGAGAGAAGGAGGTAAAGTAATATTTGGTGAAAAAGAAACGTACCGAACATCTACAAAATCATCTGTAGCAGTTTTCCGTCGAAGAAGATATTCTTTAACTAAACAACCCGTTGTCGCCGAACTACTATTGCTACTACTACTACTAATAGTACTAGTAGTATCAGTTGCATTTGTTTCTGACATATTTTGACTAGACAGTTTCTTATTATCATCAGTCGAATAACTGCTTTGTTTTGATTGACTCCCATCATCTATGTTTACTGAATTTCCTTTTGTTTTGCCTTCTCCAGACGAACTACTTAAAGTATGCCGATGTGGACTGCCGTGACTATTTTCAGCACTGGATGGTCTTGTTGTTGTGTCCACACCTGAACCTGATTGTGTTGTCGTCGTTGTTGAAGATTGTGATCCAGCTGTTATCCAGCGATCTCTTAAATGAATTAAATGTGATGATAAGGAGTCGGCAAGACGTTCAGCTGTACATACAGACTGAGTCATTTCTTGTGGAGTAAGTCCAGGGCATTGTCCGTCTACATAGTAGTTAATGGAAAACAAAACAACTAAGCAATATTTCAACAAATATTTGTGTAGCAGCAGCTTAATGGTTTAAAGAAGCTGAACCTTAATCAATGAGTTACAGGTTGAAAACACACTACATCTATTTCGGTTTGGATAGACAGTATCATTAGTCATATTGATTGATCAGTCAGTAGTTGTGAACAATATCATTTTTATCAGAAGGGGTTGTGTGGAGATTTTTGAAATTTCACTGGTTGAAATCATGAGTCAATTGAAGCTAGACCACCACGGAAAACCTGGAAGCACTGGACGGCCGTTTCGTCCTAATATGGGACTCCTCAGCATTGCGCACCCACGATCCCGCTACCCGCGAGATTCGAACCCAGGACCTATCGGTCTCGCGCCAGGCGCTTAACCAGCTAGACCACTGAGCCGGCATCCAACGGTGTTAATGTCTAACTTCAACCAATCTACGAAGTTGCGCACTGCTGAGGAGCCCCATACTAAGACGAAACGGCCGTTCAGTGCTTCCAGGTTTTCCAAGGTGGTCTAGCTTCAATCGACTCATGATTTCAACCAGTGAAATATCATTTTTGTCTAGACCATGAGTGCTGATCGAACTTTAACAACCAAGTTGCAATGTAACTAATAATCTAAGTGAATTGATATCTGGTAACTATGTTAAGTTGCCCAGTGGTTGTAGGCAATCGGTACAAAGGACTACTATGATCATTCAACAGAAAACATTTCAGTACTACAGGAGATCACTCACTGCTTGAATATCTCAGTCGTAACATTTCAAACTGTAAAGCCGGATCTCACACAGTGGATCAGTTCCCTCAAAATTTCAGATATCCTTTGAATAACCAGTGGAAAATAGCACAAAACCTAAGTTTCCATCAGAGTACCTTATCTACTAACTTCATTAACCTAATGAAGTATGTTTTATATTACCAATAATCTAAATGATTAGTACATCCATTTAATATTGGACTATATATGATAAAAAGAAGTAATCATTATTTTTATTTAGATGATTTCCTCTCTTTTCCACTTTCATTTCTCCTTCATCCCTTCTTGTGTACATTATTAGTTGAAATTATGTCAATTATGATAGATAGAAGAATTGGTCAGATGATGATTATCCCATTAAAATAAGAGAATAGAAACATCACTGAATTTTGAATAATTAATCAACATGTAAATAAAATCAAATAATATGGTTTAATGATGATGATGATTTCATAATAATTTTAAGATATTTCTGTAAATTATAAATTATGTATGTTTCCTCTGAAGAAGTGGCTTACATTAAGTCACGAAACGTCGGAAATATATTTTTTTCCTACTCATTAGGATATAACAAAACAAGGTCGTGGATGCGCACTGCTGAGGAGTCCCACAACAGGACGAAACGGCCGTCCAGTGCTTCCAGGTTTTCCATGGTGGTCTGACTTCAACTGACTCATGATCTCAACTGTTGAAAATATATTTATTATAGACAAATGATATGAATTGAGCATATTTATTACATAAAAATGTAAAACCATACAACAATACTATATAATTAAAATTTTAGAAATTTTTTATTATTAAATATTAACTGATTAAACAGCCCCCGAATGCCCTGGTACGGCCGAGAATGAAGCGAGTCCGCTCTCCATCTTCAAATGGTCTTACATGGACACATGCATAAAACCACTGCTAAAGAAGTCCTATTCACTATCTTCTTGCGACGGGGGTGCTTTTCACGAAATCGAGAGGATGAAAAGCGAATATACGGTGCTTTAACCGGGTTGGTGGACACAGAGAGTCCACCTAATGGAGTTGGAAAACCTTGATTCCAAACCAATGGTACACATGGACTCCAGGATTCTAAAGGAACAAGTGGCGTATGAACCTATTGTTGGTCACCCGATACCAAGGGACCGCATCTTCTTACGATTCTCCACTGCATTGTGGATCAGTCCTTTAGGTCAAAAGCTCCGAATATGACCCCCTAAGAAAACCACCTGCTTCGGTTTGGGCACCCGGATAGTATCCTAGCCCTCACACAAATCGAATGATCTATGCGGCACAAAATAAATAAATAAATTCAACAACAACTAACTTACCTCCAATACCTAATTCTATAAAGCATTCACCTTGTCCATTATCTAATTCTATATCCAAATAATTTTTTATACATAAGAATTGATCTTCATTTGGATTTAAGAAAACATACTAGATAATAAGTGAATTAAGAAAAAAACAGAAAAATAAATCATCAGTTGAAATAAACAATAGAAAAAGATGTGAACGTAAACTCTCCGTCTATCTCTCTCTCCGTGTCTCTACGTACATTTAAATAAACAAGGCTAATAATGAATGTATAACAAGAATTTTTTAGATACTAATTGAATAAAACTGATGACATTTGTAAGATAATCAATCAATTCACTTTCTATAATTAACCTAATGGATAATATCAAACTAATTCTGTTGAAATATTTTAAATTAAAAGGGTGTCTTTTTCAAGCTGATTACAAAGATCTTTCAATTAGGATCATTTCTTAGTGTTAAAAAAAAAGATATTTTTTTCCTACATGGTTCCGTGTTAAAGAATGAAATTTACTTTGCCACAAAACTTTATCTACAACCTAATATGACTTAATTACGCTTGTTACTCCTCGTGGAAGATCATGATCTACTCAATGGAGAAGGAACTACTATGGAGAGCAACTGGAAAGAGATAAAAGAGGCAATCACTTCAACATGTCATGAGGTTCTGGGTCAAAAGAAGCACCATCACAAGGATTGGATCACAGTCGATACACTGGATAAGATTCAAGAAAGGAGGAACAAGAAAGCAGCAATCAATACCAGTCGAACAAGAGCAGAAAAAGTCAAGGCACAGGCTGAATACACAGAAGTAAACAAGCAACTGAAAAGGAGCATCAGAACTGACAAACGTAAATATGTGGAAGATTTGGCATTGACGGCGGAAAAGGCTGCGAGAGAAGGAAACATGAGACAACAAAGAAACTCTCTGGAAATCACCGTAAACCAGAACGAACATTGAAAAGCAAGGAAGGCAAGATAATCACCAACATTGAAGAACAACGAAACAGGTGGGTAGAACACTTCAAAGAACTCTTGAATCGACCAGCCCCACTGAACCCACCCAACATCGAAGCAGCACTCACGGACCTCCCAATTGATGTTGGCGCACCGACAATTGAAGAAATCAGCATGGCTATCAGACAAATCAAGAGTGGCAAAGCAGCAGGACTAGACAGCATTCCAGCAGAGGCACTGAATGCAAACGTAGCGGCAACTGCAAGGATACTCCAAACTCTCTTCAGAAAGATCTGGGATGAGGAACAGGTACCAAAAGACTAGAAAGAAGGACTTCTAGTCAAAATACCAAAGAAAGGCGATCTCAGCAACTGTGACAACTACAGGGGAATCACTCTTCTTTCAATACCAGGAAAAGTCTTCAACAGGGTATTGTTAAACAGGATGAAGGACTCCGTAGACGCCCAACTTCGAGACCAACAGGCAGGATTCCGTAAGGATAGATCGTGCACAGACCAAATCGCAACTCTACGGATCATTGTGGAACAACCAATTGAATGGAATTCATCACTCTATATCAACTTCATCGACTACGAAAAAACATTTGATAGCGTGGACAGAACAACCCTATGGAAGCTTCTTCGACACTACGGTGTGCCTCAGAAGATAGTCAATATCATACACAATTCCTATGATGGATTAAACTGCAAAATCGTGCATGGAGGACAGTTGACAAAGTCGTTCAAAGTAAAGACCGGTGTCAGGCAAGGTTGCTTACTCTCACCCTTTCTCTTTCTCCTGGTGATCGACTGGATCATGAAGACATCAACATCTGAAGGGAAGCACGGGATACCGTGGACAGCTAGGATGCAATTGGATGATCTAGACTTCGCAGATGATCTGGCTCTTCTATCGCATACGCAACAACAAATGCAAAAGAAGACAACCAGTGTAGCTGCAGCCTCAGCAGCAATAGGTCTCAATATACACAAAGGGAAAAGCAAGATTCTCCGATACAACACAGCATGCACCAATCCAATCACAATCGACAGAGAAGCTTTGGAGGATGTAAAAAGCCTTACATATCTGAGCAGCATCATTGATGAACATAGTGAATCTGATGCAGATGTGAAGGCACGGATTGGCAAAGCAAGAGCAGCATATTTACAACTGAAGAATATCTGGAACTCAAAACGATTAGCAACCAACACCAAAGTCAGAATTTTCAATACAAATGTCAAGACAGTTCTACTGTATGGGATGGAAGCCTGGAAAACTACGAAATCTATCGTCCAAAAGATACAGGTGTTTATTAACAGTTGTTTACTCAAAATACTTCAGATCCGCTGGCCGGACACTATAAGCAACAACCTACTGTGGGAGAGAACAAATCAGATCCCAGTGGAGGAAGAAATCAGGAAGAAGCGCTGGAAGTGGATAGGACACACATTGAGGAAAACACCCAACTGCGTCACAAGACAAGCCCTCATATGGAATCCTCCAGGTCGAAGGAGGAGAGGAAGACCAAAGAATACATTACGCCGGGAAATGGAGATAGATATGAGAAAAATGAACAAGAATTGGATGGAACTAGAAAAGAAGGCCCAGGACAGAGTGGGTTGGAGAATGCTGGTCGGTGGCCTATGCTCCATTGGGAGTAACAGGCGTAAGTAAGTAAGTAAGTAACTCCTCGTGGAAGATCGTAGGCCGCCCAACAGCACTATCCATTCAACTCGGACTTGAGCAATCCTTTCTAGTTGTTATTCATGCTTTTCATGTCTGCTTCGAATTCCCGATGTAGTGTGTTCTTCGGCCTTCCTCTTTTCTGGTTCCCTTCAGGATTTAAAGTTAGCACTTGCCTCGTGATGCAGTTTGATGATTTCCGTAATGTATGTCCTTTCCATTTCCATCGTCTTTGCTAATTTTCTCTTCAGCTGGAAGTTGGTTTGTTCTCTCCCAATGAAGGCTGTCGTTGATGGTATCCGGCAAATGGATGTTAAGTATCTTGCGTAAACAACTATTTATAAATACTTGTACCTTCATGATGATAGTTGTTGTAGTTCTCCAAGTTTTAGCTCTGTACAGTAGGACTATTTTGACGTTCGTATTGAAGATTCTGACCTTGATATTTATTGACAGTTGTTTTGAGTTCTATATGTTCTTCAAGTGTAGGAATGTGGCCCTTGCTTTGCCGATCCTCGCCTTTACGTCTGCATCCGATCCTTCTTGTTCATCGATGATGCTTCCCAGGTACGTGAAAGATTCTTTATCTTCCAGAGTCTCACCATCAAATTTGATTAGGTTGTTTTTCTCCATCTTGTATTTGAGGATCTTTCTTTTTCATTTGTGTAAGTTGAGGCCTACAACCTCTATAGAGATATTTGTAGCAAAGAAGGATAATTGGACGTATGTCTACTAATCTAACCTTGTAAAATAAAGAACCTCACTACGAAGAAATCCAGTTTTACAACAAATGATTCATTGTAGAATCGAACAAACTAACCTAACATATATATGTTATGTGTGAATCGAGTTAGTGATCGTTTTGTGTGTAACAAAAAAAACACCCGGTTTATATTCATCAATTTCATTGTAAATGATCTTAGTTTTATTATTTTTTGTACCATATAGAATGGGAGAAAGGAACGAGAATCGTAAGGAATTTGCAAATTTATGTGCCTCTAACAAAACGGTTATAGGTGGCACTATATTCCTCTACAAACGCATGCATAAAGCGATATGGGTTTCATCGGACCACATCACATATTACAGTCGGAAGACCGAAAACAGATGACCACCTACGGTAAAAGGTACGTCCCACTCAATGTGGATTTATCTAAACCCATTCTCTGGGTATCAGGTGTAAGGAAGTAGGTTTCACGGTTTGAGCGAGTAGAACTCGAACAAGGCATTTGTGAGTAATCCGTTGAAGTGTGCATGTAGCATTTTAGAGATACGGAATGAGTTGAAGAGAAATAAATAAATGGTAGAAAGCATTAATTATTATCTGTCAAATAGAACAAAATCAGTAAGCTTGTCAGAAATTGTCCACTAACGATACAGCATCAAGACAATTTACTAACGAGAAAATACAACACATTGACTATAAGTAAACCAGACAAAGGAGAGCAGGTAAGTTTTATGAAGAAAACAAATTACACTTGCAAAATAATAGACGGACAGAAATTAACATAGACCCTGGTACAAATGAGCGTTGGTCCAAGTTCCCACACCTGATTAGCACAAAGGGACTAAAATAACAAAAGAGATAGAAATAATATACTACGGATGATAAAAAGAAAAACTACACCTTGGAAATATGGTTTGAAGAGACACATGAATGTGAAATCGAGAGGACGACAGAGAGTGAGCCAATATATGCCACTGTGAACAATTCTGAGCGATGTGACACAAAGTCTCAAACCACTGAACATGGGTATCACACGGACCTCAACCAAGTGGATTAAACCTTTAGGTCAAAGCCCCGAGGAGTGGCCCCCTATGAAAACTACCTGCTTCGGTTTGGGTGCCCGGGCAGCATCACATCCCTCACACAAACCAATGATAACTACGACTGGTCTCATTGTCATAGTGTGGCGCATGTGTATTTGGTGCCTCCTTGTATCAATGTTTATGTGTTCAAATGAATAAATAAACTAGCAGATAATCAAATCAGTCATTCATGACTTTTTGAACATAATAGATCGGACACACTACGACTACATGGCTTACCAAAAGTTCACAAGTCAGGAACTCATTTCCCCCTGATTTAAGATATGTTTAGTTTTCCATACAATGAAGCTGCAAAGTCCTTCGTCCGAATCTTAAGACCTCCACACAACTTAGTCTTTAATAGAACCATCAAACGGTGAGTGGGTGAAGGAATAAAGTAGACAAATTGTAAAACATGCATAACATAAAACAGAAACTATCAGGTCACCGCTCCAAACATACATGCATCAAAACAAGTTAAAAGTTGACAATCTTAAGACTATTTGGCATTTTTAAATGAGGTGGAGAAATGTAAACATCGACTAAATAAAACAATAATACATTACCTTATCTGATAGGATGGAAAGAGTACTAGGGTTTCCATCCATAATTTTAAATATTAGTCTCCACGAGAATAATATTGATCACAGAACTCATTCGAAAAAAAACCTAAAAAATGAAGACTATTAATCAATGATTATCGAAATATATAAATATTACTTGTCCAAATTACATCAGAATCATGTGCAGAGGGTAATTGGTTGATGATAACAATTCTGACGGTTGAACTTAATATCTCTAAACCAACTTACACACAAATCTATCTACTTTATTGAGTTTCAACAAAGGTATAAACATGTGTCCCTAGATTATCAACACGAATGGGAAAACATTATAAAATTAACCACAATAACTCTCCCTTGTAAATAGATGCTCGCTAATAGGTAACTCATCATCAGTTAGCACTAATGCATCTATCCAAAATGCTTTAATGGGATTGCACGTTCGGCAAACGAATTTATTATGAATTACACTTACATGTTAGTCTGTTGGGACACAAACAAATGGTGTAGAGTTTTCTCACCATACATAGGTTACTTCAGCTGAATTTTTAAGTACTAAAAGCTTATGACGTAGATATAGTCAAGTAATTTGGTTGAATATCTTGGACGAAAAGGCCATGAGACATCTAGATAAACACATGCAAAGTATTCCGAAATAACTGGGCTTATTCCGCATAACATAAAAATGTACTTGAGCATCAGTAAAATGTATGTTAGTCGTAGTTTTAGAATAGTTGTGTCACGAAGCAGAGTGAAGAACTCCTTTCATGGAATAGAAAGGGTAAATCAAGTCAATAGACCAGTAACATTAAAGAACAATTGGATATCCAGATAAAAAGTTCAACGAAAGAATCTGTACGGTGAATGAAGGCAAAGTAAGCCAGTCATTCAGTCAGTTACAACACAGAACCCGGTACGTATGCACATCGGTTCAAGTTGCCATACACAGATGAAATTATCAGACTAAATCCCACAATAGCAGAAGTAACAGTATCAGCGGTAATAGGGAAAATTAGGTATCGAACATACGTTTCGAAACTATAAATAAAAACATGGAAATTATGAATTTAGAATTTGAGGACAGACAAAGTATGGATGGACATGCACCGTGTCATTTGAAGTCTCTAACTGCTAGACAAAATGAGCATGTGAACCTCAACCGGGTAGTCTACACCTAAAAGCATGACCAAGGTCGACTGTCGATGACTTCACGAACTGATGCCATGTCTTGGTTTGGCCGTCCCTAGCTTATGTTACATCCAACGCCTATACCGAACAACATCGCCCGCTGAGGTAAGCGGTGGTTGGGACATGTGTTACGTATGCCCAACCATCTCGGTTGATGGAGACTCACCGGCCTATCAATCACCTTGCCATCCTCACCTAGTATTCTACTGCTAAACCAAGAATTCTGAACCCGTATCGAGATTTCGCCAAACACTAAACCATCAGGATTGATGAGACTATTGAGATAAGTGAAACAGTCGATGCGTTCAATTACTCCACTCCCTATCATCCATTCAAAAGCCATGACCCAATCCTAAAGCATCATTTTGCATTTGGAAGGAGACAATCACATCCCAAACAAATTTTCATTGTTCCTTAAGGTGGTCAAAAAACTGCATTTTGTCACCGTCTTCACCAAACAGAACTACATGATCTACGCAATCTAAATCAACAAGTGAATGCTCGAGTGGAAGGTCAAGTCCTAAAACGTCAGACGAATAAAGAGTTATCTCTGTATCATGTATATGACAATGTTAAATAAGAATAGATAAGGCGGACAACCCTGATGAACACCACTTACAGCAACCAATTCCGACGACTAATCCTCAGATCTGACTCGACACCAGTAGCGTTCAAGTAGAGGGCCTGTACAGAATTAATGTACTTTGGTACGCCTTTTAATGACAGAGACTCCCACAGAATCTCATGATCACTGGAATCGAGTGCCACCTTAAGGTCCAGGAACATAACCAGAGGTGAACGTCGAGAATTGTCTATGTCCCATAATCTGCTGAAGGGTATGAAACCAGCTCGGTTTTCTCAGGTTAGACGTTGAAGTATTATTAAGGTTAATATTTTAGACATCATATTAGTTAAACTGATTCCTCTGTGATTATAAAAAAGGGTATTTTTTGTCCTTTTTTACAGATCGGGAGTGAGGATAAAACTAACTTATCTGTACGTTCAAAACAGTATAAATACTGCTTGTGCTTCTGCAGTAGGTTATGTGAAAAATATAATACTGTAGAAGTGTCAAGTGAAGTGAATATCCCGAGATACTTGCCTACAAGAACATTATCTAAAATTATGTTCGAAAAGACGGCGAAAAAAGTAGCGACCATTATTAATATGACAGCCTATACTCGAAGGAATTCTATGACAATAGGCTTATCAAAATATTTAGATGAATGTGTCAAGTCGGTTTTTATTCAAAGTTTATTTTTACCGAAACCTAAGCAAACTTGCCACCTAACGTGTTTGGTAGACAACTGTAGCAAGCCAAACCTGACAGTTAGGAGGAAGATCAGAATTTACTAGCCTGAAGACAATGACATTCTGTGGTTCAGTTCTCTGTGACTTATTTATTAGCGAGTTGGGAACTGAACATTGAGTCGACAGGCACTTCTGATGTGCACCTAATACGACCCGTAGATGAGCACATAAATATGTACTTGGTAAAGGAGTTAATTCCCTACTAGTACTCAGTAATTATATGGACCATGACTATCTTAATTTACTGTCTTGGATTATCTATATGCTTCTATAAACCAAGTAGTAGTAAAGACTAGCGGAATTAACTGCCTAATTTGATATTCTTCTGAGAGTGAAATAGATATGACCTAGACGAAAGAATATTGGTAAACAGAACGTTATATAGACTTATGCTGACTAAGGTTTACCCCAGATTTTCCTTTTTATATCCGCGCAAACACATGATAGACCGGATTACGATTAAGTAAGTTCGATCGATGGGGGGTAAATATGTTGATAACACTGTTAAATCCCCTGTCGTGGCAGACCAATAACTGTTGTACTAAATGACATCAGGTCTGAATCCGGATGTTATTGCTGTCTCAGAAACTTGGTTAACGTCAGAAGTATTAGATAGTGAAATCCAGTTGACTGGTTTTATATCCAGTAGGGCTGATAGATTAAACCGTAGGGGAGGCGCGGTTATCCTGTACACGAAAAGTACCCTAACCATAAGAGCAGCTGAGACAGTGGCACATGTTTGGGGACATGTGAACTGGTGCGATGCAAGCTGAAATGTAAACGGCAAGGTAATAAATTATTTGTTGTATATCGCAGTCCAGAATGTGTAGTAGATGATTTTCTCCTAAGTAAACTTAAGTCCTGGTGTAACAAGGGTAAAAGCCTTGTAGTAGGCAACTTTAATACACCATATATAAACTGGGTTAACTTAGAAGCAGGGTCATTGATAACGTCGTTCAATTGCAAACTGTTAGAAACCTCGATTGGATAAGCATTATTCCAACACATTAGAAATCTCACAAGATATGACTTAAGAAACTCTTCTTCTCTTTTAGATTTAGTCTTCACATACGGTGATGACGTTGGTCAAGTGACTTTCTTCCCACCACTAGGAGGAAGTGACCATGCAGTCATATTATTCAAATTCATGGCTGAAATTGCCTGTCGAACAGTTGCGCTGGCCCGCCCTAATATATGGAAGGCAGATATGGAGGCAATTAACCCCGCAGCATCTGTTGAAAACTGGAAAATCGACTCAAGGGCATCAGTACAAGAGGCATGAACTCATTTCAGGCAGTTATACAATCGGTTAACTCAACCATACATACCCTGGACAGTCCCAAAGAAAAAGAAGCACGACTATCCCTGGATAGGCAGGGATATTTGACGTTTACTAAGACAAAAGAAGAAATGTTGGGATGTCGCCATCCGCCTTAGCACAGCAGAAACCATGGAACGCTAGAGATCGGTAAGAAACAAGTCTATAACTGAAATTCGAGGAGCCCAAAGAAAATACGAAATACAGTTGGAACAATCTGCAATCAAGCAACTCAAGAGAACATTCTCGTACATTGATTACAAAACAAGGATACATAATTGGATTCCCAACCTAATAAAGAGAGTGAATCTGAAATGATAGAGGAAGATCAGTAAGAGAAGAGCCAAAGGCTAACTATTTTGAGGCAGTTTTCACTCAGGAACCTCCTCTAGTCAAAGAACCAGACCAAAATAAAGAGTTAACAAACCATCTGCTCACATTAGAATTTGATCAAGACGATGTGTTTAAGGCTCTTGGCACCTTAGACATAGAAAAGTCAACAGGATCAGATGAACTACACCCCAAAATCTTGAGGCATATTGCACAATATATCGCGGCTCCACTGACTGTGATATTCAATATGTCACTTGACCAAGGTGTGTTACCTATGAACTGGAAGGACGCAATCGTCACTCCCATACATAAAACAGAACCAAGACAGCTTCCATCGAACTACAGACCTGTAAGCCTCACCAGTGTTGTAGTTAAAATATTGAAAAGAATAGTCAAACGGACCATAACGGCATTTATGGAAACCAATAACTTGCTAAACATAGAACAACATGGTTTTAGAAAGGGTATATCTTGTATAACGAACCTCCTTATAGCAAGGGAATTTCGGATAAAGGCGCTAGACAACGGAAACTTAGTGGATGTTGTCTACATAGACTTCAGTAAGCCTTTTGACAAGGTGCTAACTAATAGACTACTATTGAAGTTGGAAAACCTTGGTATTGCTGGACTTCTTTTAAAATGGGTTAAGGATTTACTAGAAGGTCGTAGACAGAAAGTAAGAATAAATTCGAAGTGCTCCATCTGGAGACCAGTACTTAGTGGAGTACCTCAAGGTTCCGTCCTAAGCCCTTTGCTTTTTATACTGTGCAAATGAACTCCCAAGTATAGTACAGTTTCCAATGTTATTATACGCTGACGATGTAAAAATCTGTCGAGTAATAACTGGAGACGCAGACGTATGCGCATCTCAGGCAGACTTAAATAATATGATTCACTGGTGAAAAGAGTGGCTGATGCCTATCAACGCGGAAAAGTGTCTACATGCACCTTGGTGATACAAAGGTTAATAGGTACAACATAGTGGAAGTGCCTGTACCCGTGGTCCGGTCTCACAATGGTCTTGGACTGAGAGTGAGTCATGATCTTAAGACCACAGCCCACTGCCTGGAGGTTGCAGCTAAGAGGTTAAGAACCATGTAGGCTTTAAGACGGAAAT